GACCGCGGTGGAGGCGCCTGAATTTGGCGCTAGGAGACCGACCGTTGGTTTCACGCACACAACTACTGGGGACTCTGAGAAAGTCACTTACGAATTCGGCCTCCTCTGTAAATTGGGCACAGTAACCCCTCCCATCCCAGCATCCCATTCCCATTGTCATCGAGTCAACTGTGTCTCACAGCGGCCCTATAGAACAGAGTAGAACTACCCTATAGAGTTTCTAAGGCTGTAAATCTTTACGAAGCAGACTGCCACATTTTTCTTCCGCGGAGCAGCTGGTGGGTTCGAACTGCCGACTTTTCGATGGGCAGTGAAGCGCTTAAAAACTGCGCCACCAGGGCTCCTTCCCATCCCAACACCCACCGTATTAAGCTTAAGCATGAGGAAGCATACGAAGGGGCTTCGTAACAGGAAACGCTGCGCTTTGTACGGCGCCGGCGGCTTTGGGGAGCGTAGCGTTCCAACCTGCGAGGCCCAGAGGACGCACCTAAATGGAGGAATGCCACCGTCCCCCATTCTTACTCTTCCTTCTCCTGGGCGCCCACTTTTCTTCCTCTCCCTCCTGGTCTCTCTGCTTTCTTAGTGCCCTCTCCTATTCCCTGCGCCTCCCTCCTTGACCCCCCAGGCCCACCACTCACCAGCCCTGCCTGCGTTCTTGACCCCCTGGGCCGCCAGGGCACCTGCTCACCTGTCCAGGGAGACGGCGGCCAGCGTGAAGCTGCTGGCGTGCATGGTGAGGAAGATGAGGAAATGCACGGCCTTGCAGAGCAGCGAGCCGAACACCCGGTCATCCTGGGTGTAGATGGTGGCCTGAAAGGGCACGCAGCACACGATGAAGCACAGGTCCGCCACGCCCAGGTTGAGGATGAACAGGTTGGCGGTGCTGACGGCCTGGCCGCCGCGCAGCAGCACTGCCAGCACAAGCGCGTTGCCCACGGTGCCCACGAGGAAAATGAGCGCGAAGAGCGTGGGCACGATGACCGCCTCGGGCTGCCAGCCGCCAACGCCGCCGGCCTCGCTGGCGTCCTCTGCGTCCGGGCCGCCCAAGCCGTTCATGGCGGCGCCGAGCGCGCGGCTCCTGGCTCCCGCCGCTGTCGGTCTCCGCGAGCGCGCAGCGTGGGTGGCTCGGCCGCTGCAGCGCCCAGAGCGACTTGGCGGAGCTGCCGGCGGAGGGCGCCTGGCCGCGGCTGGCTGGGCTCGGGTGAGGGCGCACAGGGCCAGGGGGAGGAGCGAGCCTCCGGGGGTGGGATTGTCCCCCGAGGCTACCGGCGGTGCGGGGGTCAGGGGGCAGGGCGGAGGGCGGGCAGGCACCCCGGGGTAGAGGGCGGCCCTCGTGCCTGCGCCCTGGCCCTCCGGCGTCGTCGGCGCGCTCCCGCCCGCCCCGGGGCCAGGCTGGGCCAGGCTGGGCCCGGCTGAGCCCGAGCGGCGGAGGGACGGACCGTCCGGACAGCGTGTGCGGCGTAGTGAGCGAGCGCCTGCCTGGTCCCCGCGCTTCGGCGCTTCCCCGCAGCCTGGCCAGCGCGCAGGACCTGCGGACTGGGGCGCCCTCGAAAGAACTCCAGATCGCCCCCCTGAAGGTTGGGGAGGGTGACAAGAGGCAGGCGAGGGGGAGGGACGCGGGAATGGGCCTGCCGTGTGGTCCACCGCCTCTTCCCATTTCTAGTTCATGGGACGCGAAACTGAGCCCCAGGCTTCACAGGAACCCCAGAGAACAGCGGCGGGAAGGAGGAAGGAGAGGTTCTGAGGAAACTTGGTTAGCGTCATCTCTTTCTCTTCTTCCCGCCATTGAACGTTTTTGTCTCCAATTCAATGCAATAAATATTGAGCATCTACTGTGTGTCGGGCTTTGTCCCTGGCGCTGTGCCTCAGTTTCCGCAGCTGCAATATGGGGGTGATAGCACCCCCTTCTTAGACGGCTCTGGTAAGAATGGAATGAGATGTATGTTAGAAGCTGAAGCCAGTTAGATGAATCTGAATGAATCAAGTT